TCATACATTATTTTTATACGTTATTTACTAATGTAAGTTAATTGTTAGATAAATGTAAATAAAAAATGATACAGAGATGGAAATTGAAGTGATCATTTTCACTATGTTTCAAGTTTCATATGACAGAGGCGTTAATGTAATAGAATAATATGTAAGGAGATGGTTCACATTGAAAATGTGTTCGCCTGGATAATATACGCATTAAAATGAACATCATAAATTACATCTTGATGCATTTATTTTTGAAATATGAGGAAAGGAAGATAGTTCTTCTGAATACAATTTTCTAAATCATCCCACGTTTCTATGCATTCATTTAATCAAAGTCACAAAGTTCCTCATACTCATAGAATTTCTACATAATGTCTCTATGATTTGGAATTTCCTCTCACATAAGTTTAGGGATTAAAATTAATGTTTTTTTTTTCATAATTTGTTGGATACTGATGCATATCTAATCAGTCTTTACAAAATTTCTTACAGAATCTCACGCAATGCATGTAGCTTACATAAGTTTCAAAGCATGCTCGAACTTATACGTACATTAGTTAGCATAGGACAGCTCTTTGATTATTTATCATGTTTCTTTTTCTTCACTTTTATTACAAGCAAGATAATTGAACGATAATACAAGATATTTGAAAAACTTAACTAAAATTTCTTCGTAACAGTTACATACATCAAATAATCTTGCGTATTTTAATATCAATGAGCTTTAAATTCCTGCACAGAGTAATCTCTAGCAAGAGTCATAGACAAATTCAATCATATTAGTTGAGACAAGATTTTGCTCTTTTCTGTGATTTCAAAAAGTAAAAGGCTAAATGACCTAATCTCATAACGCGAGGAACATCAGTTCTTCACAATTGCGTTTCTAAAATATCGTATGATATACTGATCGTGGATATACTTATATTTTTAAAACAGTATATTCACGCGTGATACATACACTATGCATAAATCAACAAATTGTCTTTATAGTTCTATATACTTATATTTGCAATTAATTATATGAATCTGTTAAATAAATTAAATAATTTCAATAAATTAGTTGATTAAATTCTGATCCATCAATATGTACTAAGATTTTATGTGGGAATTTTTCCAATGTAGCAAAATATGTCTTACTTGTCTTCTTTTTTTTGTCGCATTTTCTGAAAAATATACTGTAATACCTAAGTTTGAATGTACTAAGTTCAATTCCATCGAGTTAGATGCCATATTGGTAGAAGAGAATTATTTCGAATTCGTGTTCTGTTCATTTTTCCATGTTTTCACATGTAACTGTGCCGTTTGGTATTCTTTGGTAAAACAAGAATGTTTTACAAAAAATTATTCCAATCTTACATACATTTAAAATCACATTATACTTGTATATATAATATAGTTGGAAGGAAGTAGTCCGTTGCAATGCTGTTAATGAAATAATGTTCATTCCTATTGTCTTACTTCATTCATCATCATCATCACATTCATCGACAAAGATACGCGAAATTAAAAGTAAAATTCTTCCTCATTTTTACCAAACTATATCACTGTAAATTATTACATTTAAACATCGTTTATTTTAGAAATTCTCAAATATTCAGCTTTTATTAACAAATATAGAAGCTGCATTTTTCTACTGAAAAGCCAATCCACCTAACAGTAAATGAATAATAATATATACATTAAATATTACACGTTACGCGTCTCTCCTTGAGTATTATCTAATAAATTTATTTTAAAAGTAACTATAAGATTAATTGCAATGTATTTCCGCGCGAGAAATACGTACAATTATCCGTATTATAATGTTTCGATCAACAGCCACATGAATTTATTACCAGATGGATCAACTAGATTCAAGGATCGATGATCAATTTCTTTTTTTTTATCGAATGGACTGGAAAACGCGATAATAAAATCGTAGTATGTAAAACGAAGAGGTAAAAGATGCATGAAATAACTTAACAAAACTTGTGAGATATATATATATATATATCATGGTCGAGCAGTAATAACTTTGAGATTGCTAGAAAAGGGCTTTAAATTCAATTCCAAAATAATTTTCGAAATTGTAATACTGATAATAATAAATTCATGCCGAAAAAGCAGTGTAACTCGCAACATTAAAAGCGGCGCTAACTGCGATTATGTGAACGAAAAATAAAGATAACATTATAATCATCGATAAACAGTAGTACTATTTGTAATTATACAAACAAGCTATTCTTAACTATATTGCAGAACGCAATATATGATAGCACAGATGGAAATTTCAATGCGAGCATTAAATTAGATTTGATATTCGAATTTACACGAATCTTCATGTCTATGCCATTGAGCTCCTCTCAATTCAAGGATGATTACTCATTATTTGCTGTTAGGATATGATCGAATCATCGAAAATTAAAAGCTCTAAATAACAAAAATTCCTTAAATATTCGGAGGAATGGATTGTGCAAACGTATTTCGGAGTGTATCGTAAATCGAAATATCAATTTGCGTGAAACAAACGTCGAAAATTATATGTACGTACGATAATAAAAATATTGAATCTAAAAAAGATAATAATAGCCGATATAATATTAGATAAGATATATGGGACTGCTAACTAGTAACACATGACTTTTTTTTTAATTGAAGTAGGTAAAATCGCTAGAAATACATTAAAGCATAACAGTGACTATATTAATCATATTTCTTCTCTGCTTGACTCCTGCAATCGCATACATGCACACATGGAACATACATTCGCTCTTTTCGAAGCATTCAGTGTACATTAACAGTTATACATATACATCGAGCAGAATGGCTGTAACGCCACTTCATTCGTAAGACTAGCTGAGGCCTGTACTAATGTGGACTGTGCTATTAATAAATCGAGAGCAGAAAAGGTCTTTTAATAAGCATTTTCACTAAAGAAGAATATTCACTATAATAAGGTATAAGCACAGTACATGTAAAGGCCTCTATCCTCAATTTCAATGTTTTATTTTTTTTTTTCTTTATTTTTATCCAGAAACTTAGTTCGTTCGTTCAAAATATTCTCCGTGCGCGACCTCGGCGTGTTTCACGTTTTGCTGCGAGGCACATATCAAACAATTAATATCATGCTCACGCGTAGACAGCGAGAGAATATTTTCTGTATCATTTACGCATGGGATGTTACAATAATCGAATACATCCTAAATACTTTCATTCGCGCCTCCCCGCATACATATCCACGAGGACGAGGGGTAGCAATACGTCTTAGCGAAACTATAATAGAATAACAATCGTAATAATGCATCATTCGCGAAATAGCGGATAAAGGGGACAACAAGTTTAAATAAAGAATATATTACGAAAATGAATAAATCGGAAAATATAGATCGTAACTTGCTGAGGATTATGTTATTGATCGGTATAGGAAGGAGGAACCGTTGAATTATCAACGTTCGCGGTATGCAGTGGTTCTGTCGGTGGTGTACCGTCGTGAGAATTTCCTATGTGAGGTGTGGCTGGTGTGGCTGGCTGGGATTGAGTCGCTCCGCCGGGAGGAGCGTATATCAACCGGTAGCCAGCCGGTAAAAAGAAACCGCCGTGCGGTGTACAGCTGAACGTTTGAAAGTTTGATAGTGTTTGATTTTTCGATATCGTTGAAATTGATATTGGTAGAGACGTGACCAACGATCCAGTGGAGGGAGCCGGGACGTTCGTCCCGTCCGGTATTATAGGCGTGAATTGATATTGGGCCGAATTAATGATCGCCGGATTATGCGTTGAATCAAGGGACTCTGGTACTTCATTCGTATAACTACTAGATTGCTGAGAGGGCACATTTTGAATAGTTTCAGAAGGCACTACTGAAATTGGAATAACATAAGCGTGTGGTATTCCAGCTGCCGCCTGTTGTGGTTGTAGCTGCAAAGGTGTTTGCTTCAATTTCTGCATAGCTAACCGTAACGTTTCGTCGGTATCCGGATAATTACTCGGAGCTTTTTGCAATGGAGTTTGGGGCGTTGTATTAAACATTAAATAATCTTCGGTACCTGGGAGTCTAGTTTGTCCTGTTTGGAGAAAAAGCTACGTCATTATGAGAGACGAGATCGTCGAGCGGGTCGTATCGTTCGCAGATGAAAGCTAATGACAAACCTGATATACTAGTCGCAACGGTATGATAAAGTACTGGATGATGCTGATGATGGTGTTGATGAAGTGCACTTGCTTGCTGCTGCTGCTGGATTAATAATTGTAATTGATGTTGCTGGAAACGTTCCAATTCTTCCCTATGTCTTCTTTGTAGCGTTTCTAATTCCATGGTTTGCCTAAATAAGAATATGAAGTAACTTCTAAATATCGTCAAATTATAAACTTAACAAGTATAAACTTACTTCTTTATAAGTAATTGATATTCTTCGCTTGGTGTGAGTGTCCAAAATCTTTCGTCTTTTTCCGATTGCTATAAACCAACATTTCGATTAATAATGTATTTAAATATTAATTAAATAAGCAAATAAATCAAGGGATGGATTACTTCTATCGCAGAAGGATTAAGTAGTTGAGGAACTTGCGCTGGTGGAATCGAACCCTCTCGACTATGGATTATTTGTATCGGTGTACCTATAATAGACGAATGTTAATTAATATTGTCGATTCATTTTTATATCGAGTTTCATACCCTGTATATCATCCATATGGTAGACCTTCGGATCCTCCATTTGATTTCTCGACACATCGCTATGTTGTTGACTTTGAGCAGCAGCATTACTAGGCGGACCTGCGACCTTGGAAACCACGAATCTTGATATTTTTCTAACAGGTTGTGTTGTACTAACCTTCTATTAAAATTGTATAATTATTTTTTGAAAGTGTTCGTCGTGTAGATCGAAGTTCATGATCAGAATGATAAAATTTCAAATGGTACATACCTCGGAAGCATTTTCTTGAGATTCTGTTTGCACCGGTGTGTTGGTATCCGAGCGTGATGTAATGACACTGGGAGGAACGGTAGCAACAGGCACGGTAGTCATAGGCGGAGCGGTGGTCAGTAAACTTTGCGCCGACTGCAGCGGTGGCTGCACCTGCATGGAACCGACGATAGCAATAGGCGGCGTTAAGGGTTGCGGGGAAGCTGTCGATAGAATGGAGCCCCTGTGATGGATTTTAGCTAATTCCTGTTCCAATTCCTGCAAACGCGATCCTGGCCTTTGAGCTCGAACTTTTATACTTTCTTTGCTGGGACTCATCGTCTCAGAACCAGCGGGACCTCCTCCTGGCGTTGGACTGTCGAGAGAGCAATCTACTTGAGTTTGAGAGAGTGCAAGCTGCTGGATCGAGCCTTCTTGAGGTAGAACAGAACCTTCGATGCTCGTCGTAAGATTTGGGTCGGTAGGCAAGGTTGCAGCAGACTGTATCGTAGTCTGAGGTGACAAAGGACCCATGCCATGCGCTGTCGATGTCGGCATACCGATGTTGACAAGCTTCTGTTGCAAAGAATGCATGTATGCGTCGTATCCTCCTATTATCTGGTGATTATGAGGTGTAGCTGGGTAACTTATAGGCGGTGTGCCTACGTTAAGTGCTTCGGACGGCTGACTCGTTAATTGAACAAGTTTTTGATGGAGATCCGCTATCGTTTGTGGACCTGTTCCACTTGGAATGGCTGTTCCAGCGGACATGTCCGAAACTTTGTCCAGTGAATTTTGTTGGCTAAGCTTCCGATGTTGCTGCTGCTGTTGCTGCTGCTGTTGCTGCTGTTGTTGGAACATCTGATTTTGCGTGAACAACGCCGCATCGACAGATTCGACGATCGTATGCTCCGGAGTTATATCGTGACTAGAGTTCTCATTCTCCGACAACAAAGTATGTTCAAGATTTGCACGTGCATCATCTGTCTCCGTTTTTCCCGATAGTTGTTGGTCTGGAAGCCGTAAATGAAACTGCGATTGATCGACAGGAGTGGAGCTCTCTACGTTCTGAATATCTTGCACGACGTGTTGCGGTACAGGAACAGCCTGTTGCATTTGAGGCTGGATCGATTGAACCTGTCTGATTGGCATAGATTGCTGCACGACGTTCTGATTCATAGGTGGAATCCACTTGCCCTGCGAACTTAATGCTTGGACAGGTACTCCTTGGAAATTTTGTTGCATTTGTAATTGAGGATCGATCTGATGTATCGCGTTTAATTGCATTGTTTGTTGCAAGGGTATTTGAATCGGATGAGTCTGTTGATTGATTTGGAACGTTTGTGGAATTCCCTGCTGTCCTATGTTCGTTTGATAGTTGTGCTGCAATTGGGGTTGCATTTGTATCTGACTTGCTTCTGGTTGGATAGGTTGAAAATACTGTTCAGGCTGGAGATTAGGTTTATGATCTGGCACTGCACTTCCTTGAACGTTGAGAGTTTGACTCTGCTCGTGATTCGTCAAATGAGGAGTCGAAGATTTTGATTTCGGGTTCGAAAGTATGTTAGCAAGATTTTGCGCCAAGTCCGGAAGCGTCGATGAAACTTCTTTCGTTTTCAACGTAACTTTTGGAGTCACTTCTGTGGTAGTGACTTGATGTACAGGAACTGAAACCGGAATAGATACGCTGGATGGAACGTTCATGACATTTTGTGGAACCGCCTGAAGTTGTTGAACTGGTTCCAGAACTGTCTGCGATAAAGGTGCCATGTTCGTACCATCTTGCTGAGAAATTAATTGAACAGGTTGTACCTGAGGGGCCGATAAATTTGGCGCGATAAGTGATTGCTTCTTGTCATCCGTGATATTACTGCTTTCCGAAATCTGCGAATCCGTCGACATGTTCGATGCCGTGGAAATATTCGAAATCCTACGATTCCTTTCGTCTATTAACGCGGTCGGCTGCAATTGCGTGATCGGTCCAGAAAGTATAACATACTGTTGATGCTGCTGTTGCGGTATTTGCTGTGGATGAAATTGTTGGAGCGGCCGTTGAGCTTGCATCTGCTGTTGACTTTCAGATTGCACATGCATCTGCCCTAAATTTGGTTGAATTTGCATAATCGGTTGCTGCGGTTGCAACAGGACGTTACACTGCATAGGCTGATTCTGATATTGCCCTTGTATATTGATTCCGCCCGATGAAACCTGGCCTTGCAAATCTTTTTGCGTCACAACTACGTTCTGATGCATAGTTTGCATCGGCTGAGGCGATTGATACGTTATTCCTGATCCTACGACTATTACATTTTGCTGACTAGACTGCACAGTATTTACGTTTTGTTGCATTTGTGGCATCGGTTGCCCCTGCACGATGTTTTGAAGCCCAATCGGTTTCTGCATCGATGGTATCTGAACGTTCTCCATTTGTTCCGTGGTACCTGGAGGATTCTGCGTAATTGTTTCAACAACTGCCATTTCCGGAACTACTGTTTGCACTTCCGGAACGTTCATTCCTAAGTCTTCGTGTTTTGCTTGTTCCTCTTCATTACCATTCAATTGAGACGATGAACTTGTCTGTGTTACTGGCGCGTTAGATTTATCTGCACTTTCTGCAGTACTCAATTGCTCTTCCTCGTTCGCGACGACCTTCTGCTCGACCACAGGACTAACTAAGAAGCGAGAGATTTTTCGAGTTGGAGCTGGCGCTGCTAACGTAGCCACTTCTGCACCTGAGGTATCGGGTTGCGTTTCCTTACTTGTGTCTTTTTCTTGTACCATTGTATCTTGAACTATAGATTCCTTAAGCTTTTCGCTTGCCTGACTACTAACTGAATCTTGTGTTTGATTTTGAGAAGATTTAGCAGTCTCATCTCTAAGTCCATCCTGGACTGTGTCCACCGTTGTTACAGTAACAATTGTTTCTTGAGTTGGATCAGTGAGATCGCTTGGCAAATTTGTCGGTGTCAACGTATCCGTGTTTTGTGTGGACGTCGACGATCTCCTGGATGCGTCAGCTGATGTATTTTCAGGACCCATTTGACTATCAGGTGTCTGCACATTTTGTGGCTTGTCCATAGAAGTAGCGCCCGTAATATGTGAAATTATTTGATCGATCGGCAATAATTTCGTAGGAGTGGATGTGTTAGAAGTTTCGTCTCTCTGAAAACATACAGCAGGCAATTATTAAGCTGTAAAAATTAGTTTTTCACCACAAAATGATCGCAAGGTACATGAACAAAAACAACGTCATAAATCAAATAATTGTTACACAGATTTAAAGGATGCCATAATTATTTACACATGTTTTCGTTTCGCACCCTGTAAGATTTTTTAATTAAAATTAAACGTGATGACAAAGTACAGAACACTCCCTGTCAGTACTGTAAGGATGCAATTGTCTCTGGGAAAAGTCGGATAATGTACAGGAAATGTCGTCGCAAGATACTGCTGTACCTTAAAAAGATGCCTGAATACAATGGCACCACGAATTAAAAAGGAGTGCACAAATGTCCACGATTAGAAGACGAAATGTGTTGGGAATAGGGCGAGGTGGTAGCGGGGACGATACACTCACCGAACGGTGTCTACGATGGACTTTGTATGATGATCGGTGGCTGCTTTGACGAGTTAGCGAGCCATGTCTCACCTGCTGCGTCCAAAATGATATAAACCAATTATACCTTCGAACTACACCTTTGCTACTTTATGCTGTCGCGAATTTATCACGAATGAGCAACATTATGTTTTATTAAACAGTCCGATTTTTCATTAAACATTATCAGACGTATTACATCGGTATGAAAAACAAATTGTTACCTTAGCTGTATCAAGACTGTGGTCACGATCCCTAGGTCGACGACTCGTCACCGGACTACCGCCGGCAGATTGATCTGGTGGGCCATGTGCTACCAACGGCAAAGCTCGTGTAGGGTCCAAACGTAATTGTCTAACGATATCTTCTATCAATTCGACGAACGTTTCACACTGCGATTGTGGTAATAAATTTTCGGCAACCTGCAGATGTTAAACATAAAATGGCAACGGAATCTTTGACGATGTAGACGATAATGAATACATTATAATTTCCTTACCAAATTATTAGCTATATCAGTCGGTACCATGTCATCTCTATCAAATTTAAACGTCACAGTTTTCTGTTTGCTCGTATCCAGTTGACACTCGACAGTCATCGACTGTCCCTCGCTGCTACTCACGGATAAAACAGTTAATTTGATCCCAGGCTTCTTACGTTTCGTGCCGGATCTTTTCACTCTAGATCTCTCAGACGAAGCGACGCTCTCAACATTCTCTTGGGTTACTCTGTGAAGAAACAGAATAATTAATATGCAGAACATATATGACCGAATAAATGAAGAAATATCATGAGTTTACCCTTCATTTGGCACTGTAACTTGCGCATTAGACGCGTTTACTAAATCTTGGACATTCGCTGCTATATCAGCTGGCAAGGATTGTACAGAATCCATTGTATCTTGCTTCGACAAAGACGATCTTTCAGTACTTGATTGCTCCGAGACGAAATGTTGTGATGTTGTTATCGACTGTGAAATGCCGGACGACATGGGGACAGAGGTAGGAACGTTAGAATTTTGCGTGTATTGCATCTGAACTAGAACACTTTGTTGCGGCTGAGACTGCGGTTGATGCCCCCCGTTCGAGATAAGCGTAGGTGCAGTTTGCATATTTGGAATCGCTGAAGTCACTGTACTTTGCATGAGTGTAGCCGATGCGGTACTTTGAATATTTATGCTGGATGGTACAGATGAAGTTTGAACTTGGCCTGGTTGTTGCTGTATATAAGGTTGCGAGGTTGCTGGTGCTGTGTTCTGAGGGATGTTCGCGTAGATTTGAGCTGGAGGCTGATTGGATGGTATAATTTCGACATGACCGGAGGAGTTTGAACTTGCATACGAATGATACATTTGTTGAGACATATTTTGCTGGTATATGGGTTGCGTATTATATCCTGAAGACCCCGTAGCACTTTGTTGATAATACTGCTGACCCTGAACCGGCGCAGAGCCCACCGAATGCGGATGTACTTGTTGAACGTGCTGAATCTGCGGTTGAGAATATTGAACCTGTGGAGGTTGCTGCATTTGCTGCGGCTGCTGCATCTGCTGTGACGGCTGCATCTGCTGCGGCTGTTGCATCTGCTGCGGCTGCTGCATTTGCTGCGGCTGCTGTATTTGCTGTGGCTGCTGCATCTGCTGCGGCTGCTGCATTTGCTGTGGCTGCTGCATTTGCTGTGGCTGCTGCATCTGCTGTGGCTGCTGCATTTGCTGTGGCTGCTGCATCTGCTGCGGTTGCTGCATTTGCTGATGCATATGCTGCGATTGCGATAGAATTTGAATTTGGGGTTGCATCTGTTGCTGCATCTGAATTTGTTGCTGCACGCTCATCTGACTCAATTGTATATATTGTTGCTGCATGTGCTGCTGCTGCTGCTGCATTTGTTGAGTCACTTGAGGAAATTGTGGTTGACTCTGAACATTCTGAGGTGTGGAACATTGCGAAGAAGTAGCAGTCAAGTTTTGCGAAATATGTTGAGAGAATTGCTGCTGCTGCTGTTGTTGCTGCTGTTGATACTGTTGTTGTAATTGCTGTTGGTACTGTTGTTGTTGGTACTGCACTTGCTGTTGCGAAACCTGAGGTATTTGTTGCGCCTGTTGCGGCTGAACAACGGACGTCTGCTGCTGCATTAACGGTTGCTGCTGAACCAACTGCACTTGTTGGGGCTGTAATTGAGACTGCGGCGCAGTCTGCATTTGCTGCTGTTGTTGCATCGGTATTTGGTTCTGTTGCAACTGCATTTGTACTTGGCCTTGTATTTGAATTCCCATGTTGGACTGCAATTGCTGCTGCTGCTGCTGCAACTGCATTTGTTGAAGCAGCAACTGTTGTTGCAAAAGGTTCTCGTTAGTTGTAGCACTGTCCGCTTCACGATCTAGACGTTCCTTTTCTTCTTTGGCTTTACGTTCTTCCCTTTCTCGTAATAGAGTAGTGATCTGCGACTTCAACATCTTTGCCACAGCCTTAACATCTTCCTCGAGGATAAGGCTGGATTTGGCCATTTCCGACGCCACCTCTTCTGCGTTATCGGCTTGAATGTCGAAGTCAAATTGTATCGCCTCGTTTTCTTTATGCTTGTTGGTACGTTTTTTAGGGTCCAACACACGAAGTCTGAATTCAACACGAGACAATTCCGCATCCGCCACGGCCGAATCCCTCGAGACCATCTCCAACTTCAGTCCAACGTCGTCCGCGAAAAATTCGTGATTCAGAAGATCTTTAACTAAAGGCCGTTCTTCCTTCTTTAAACGAATACACATTTCTATAATCTCACGCACTTCCGGATTTTCCACCTTGTCATAACTCTGCGGCTTCACACCCTGCATAATACATTCATAAGTTAGTAATAATATATTGAATAAAATTTGCAATTAATATAATTATTCTATGTTTATATTACCGATACTACGCGTTTGTATATTTGAGCTGGTCCAGTACATTCCGAGTATGGATATTCACTTGTAGCCATTTCGAGCATACACATCCCAAATGCATAAACATCCACGGATTCATCGTAATGTTCCTCATACATTTCTGGCGCCATAAATTCGGGTGTCCCAATAACGCTTTTAGCAAAACTTCGATTTTTAAGAGTAGCAAGTCCCAAGTCGCCAATTTTTACACTTCCCGTTGTACCAGTAATAAAAATATTGTCACACTTCAAATCACGATGTATAATAGGTGGCGATCTTGAATGTAAAAAGCTAAGGCCTTTCAAAATTTGTCTGCACCAAGATTTCACTACTTTTGGATTAATCTTTTTAAAGCGTCTTAGGTACCTACAGAAAATTCATAATTTACATCGTAGAAGAACAGAAATTTGTTTAATAAACGGAGAATTTACGTTTTCAATGTTCCTGAAGTCATAAGTTCAGTGACTAGCACAATATATTTCCTACGCGTAAGTGTAACTTCCCAGTAGTCATAAAATCTAACAATATTTGGGTGCTGCAATCCCTTCAGCATTTCTGCTTCCTCTCTAAACCTCAATCTCTCAGTTTTATTTAATTTCTTCTCCTAAAAAGGTAACAGAAAGTTATTGTAATCAGGTACAAATACATTTATAATCTGTAGAAATGTTCAATCTCATTTCACTGACCTGTAATTCGCACCAAGCAACTGCTACACCAGTTTGAGTATCCAGTCCTCTGTACACAGTCTTAAAACTGCCCCTACCGATTTCTTCCTCGAATTTTAAAAATCTACCATCCGGTGATATACCAATAGCTTTCTCCTCATCGTCGTCGTCCTCAACAGTTTGCACCTTAACTTTCAGCAATAAATTTTGAACATCTTCCATGGCCATGGTCTTCTGTGTTAATTTTTCATCCGCCTTAAAATTTTCATCCAGTAAAGGTCCAATGAATCCTTCCACTGTTTCTTCCTGTGCGACTTCCTTTTCTTTTTCGTCCTTCGCTGTTTGGGTCTCATTCTCTGGAGTCGTCTCTTTAACATTCTCCATCTCCGCGTCTAGAGGTGGTACTTTTCCTAATTTACTTAGAGATTCGTGAAGCGCCTGGGCAGCAACGATATCACTGATACTGGTACCGTTATCATCTTCATCATATATAGTCACTTCCTCTTCCTCTTCCCTTGGTGCATCAATATCTTTCACCTCCGTATCTGCAATATCCTCAGATACTTTTGATGTTACAAATCTTGAACTTTTTACCACTTCTTCTTTCTTGCTACTTTTTTCAGAATTTTTTGCTAAGTTCTTGGTCTCTTCATTTTCTGCAATATTCACAGGTTTCGACTCTTCGTTAGATGTTTTCCGTTTCACTTTCTCGTTAGTTTTAGTAGTCGCAGTACTTATGGACGTTTCTGTGGACGTGCTCGTATCTACATTCTTTTCCATATTCGTTTCCTTCAAATTTTTACTATTTTGTTGCTCAATCATTTTTTCTGTAACATATTTATCTTTAGATTTAATCGTTCTGCTTTCACTATTTATACATTTCGTACTTATAGAAGAAGCGGGAAATAATCTTTGTTTACTTTGTATACTTAAATCATCCTCGATACTGTTTGCCGATATCTTTCTCGTAATTTTAGAAACCTCGATGCTTTCTAACAAAGTCTTTTCGTTTATATCTAATGATACATTTTTGTCTGATGATTCCTGTGAAAATTCAGGACCTTCTTCACTGACACTACATTCGACACTCGTTTCGTCATCATCCAATTTTTTCAATTTCAATCGACTAAGCGGTGTTGATGGCGTGGAACTAGAACCTGAACATTCAAATAAAATCCATGCAATTCGTTATACGCAAAAATTGTAAGTCACTAGAAGTGCAATAAAATACCTGGCAAACTAAACGCACTTTCTGTCGCTGCAACAGCTTCTTCTGCATCGCTAAAACTGCGTTCATTTTCATGATCCAATAACGGTGAATTGAGATTCCGGGGTGATGATTTTTCAGAAATACGCGACGCAGATAACACTTTCTTCTTTGACGAAGGCGAACTACTGGCAACTCCGTTACTCGTTATAGATAATGAATCCGTGTTATGATCAGTCCTTTGTGTTCGTATTTGCTTTTTACAAATTGTTGTAGAGGAACGACTTATATTTGATGTCTATAAAAATTAATATGGACATTATCAACACATCCTTCCTTATAACACTTCAAATATCGTAGCACACGTCCTCTCCATATCGTAGCTCATGGAGCACTGCTCGGATTGCTTGGGATTTCCGACGAACTACACCATTATTCTATAATGTAGCCATCCCCAGGTTTGCACCCCCCCCCCCCCCCCACCATTAACCGAGTCTCCGGAATTCCCGTTACCGAAAGCCAAGGGTTACTATACCTTTCGGTCTCCAGAACTGTGGCCGCTAGTGCCTGCTTGCGAAACAATAGATAATTTTCTTTGGCGTTTATTATTGTAGACCCTCTGAGTAGATACAACTGGACAAGGGGCTCCTCCTTCCTGAGAGGCTAAGTGGCCCAATGCCAAACTAATCCTACCCTGACTACCACTGCCTCCACTGGCCACCAGCTTCGGACATATATTTGACAGGCCAGTTCCGCCCGGTGATCGTTGCCTATTTGTCTCATACCTAAAACACCGAACAAAGCCCGACATGATTTTCATGCCTTGAGTCCTTCTACAAATTGCGATTTTCCTTCAATCAAAAATAAAAGAAACTGAAAATTCTAATAAGAATAAACTCTGTATTTTAATCATATAATTGTGCATGTTTCGTATAGATTAAAGCAGAAATTATTATTAAACCAAATTGAAGTTATGTTTAGTATTGGTAAACAGTATTGCTGTCTTATGGATATAGAAAAACATAAAAATAAAATATTGCTCACACACGCATACATTCTGCAATCAAGTATCTTTTATTATATAATCTAAATTAAGAGAATAACGTTTAGCCTCATCTGTACTAAATGTACATGCCAGCAATGAAATCTTCATATTATGTAATATTGAAATGTTATGAATGATGGTTTGAAGTACTACTAAATCTTAAGACAAGATGGTGATAGATGGAGTTTTTCAAAATAATTTAGAAAGTATCTATAAAGTCTGCAATAGTGGGATAATTTCCAAAATATAACAAGCTAAATTGATAAGTCCGTTAATGAATTATTATTCTTTCCTGAATGTTCAAAGGACAATACTTTTACGTTGCGGTATAACAATAGTGTAAATCGAGTAATTACTAACCTTTGAATACCTACAAAATTTCATACTTGAAGTTCAGGGTCAGTAATTCTGAAAATATATTGCAATTTTATACTTTCTTTATATCCTAATGGAGGTTTCTAATTCTATATAATACAAATTTCTTTGTTAGTCTTCATAGTACTTCAGCATTCAAGGTAATTTCAAACTTCAAAGTATCTTTCCTTTCAATTATAATAATTTCAATCTGTACATGTCCAGTACGGATGAGATATAACAGGTCTCTATGCATATTGTATTCTCTAATTAAACATTTTCTTTCTAAATACTTTTATATTTCTGGAGCTGAGATTTTATTTAATTGTGTGTATATAACTGTGTACTTAAATTTTTTGGAAACAGAATCTGTAAAATTGTACAACATTAAATAACAGTGTCTATAAACTGCATTCCAAATCATATACACACACACATATATATACATAGACCGTTCGACTAATGGCGAGATAAATTTTGAAGGGTGATTGTAAAAGTAAAGACGAAAATTTTGAATAGTATAATTGTGCCCAAGGCCATTCTGCACCCATAACGGCAATAATTCTCAAATAGAACGTGCATATAACAGTCTAAATGCTAATGCAATTACTGTTAGCTTGGGTACGCTGTACTTTAGGGGATCACTACCTGCACAGTGACAGTCCCCGGACTAACGGAAATACCCAATCTGCAGTGTGTCTAATATAATGGTAATTGCTCGGACAGTAAAATTTACAATATTGTTTACTACATTGCTTCTGAAAAGCATAGACGATAGGTAAACTTGCCTACCATCAGGAGCAATTTTGAATCGTTTATAACTTAAGAAAGTGGTGCCTTGAATGAAATTTATTTTATTTTTGACTGCTTTAGAATCATTTCTTAAAATTTCTCCCACTAGCAGCCGAACACTCTGTATATATTAAATATATATGTATTCAAATGAAAAGCAAAAATGAATTATAGCAAAGAAATTAAATGATACAAGATAAAGAATGACAATGTAAGAAGCATGATTTTGATACAGACATCATTATACCTGTCCTGCCTGCTGTGGCCAGATGAGAGGAATCCACGCACTGTATTGCCTATAGCTGCTCTCTTTTTCACTTCTTTCTCCCGTTCTTTGTACCCACCAGATCCAGTGCCCACTTGATCTTGAATGTTTTTATCACCCTATAATCAATATTATGGAATAGCAAATAAATGTATACTATAGCACAAGGCAATAAATGAAAAACTAACGTTTCAGAAGTTTACCTTAATACTCAGAAGCTTAATATTCAAATTAGTGCTTTTGCTGAGTGGAACTGGGCTTAAATCACACCTGACTCTTCGGTGTGATTTTTCTACGATAGGCGGTTCTTCCTCTAATTCCAACTGATCCCCAATTGAAAAAAAATGATTTTCTGTTAATAAGACATTCTTTTTATTAAATTTACGACTGATGCCAACCGAACTTACTGCCTTGTTTTCATTAAAGCATCTCGGCATTGCACATAACCAATTAATGAAAGAGTTCACTTTGCAAAATTCTTCGTCTCCTATTTTGTATATATATATATATATTCTCCCTTAATTTCACTTAGATTTAGACTTGATGAGAACTTTTCTTGTCATAATATTCGCAGTTAAAACAGTACATAGTATTTTTAACTAATTTTACTCCTCAAATTATAAAATACTGAATATTTTTATGCTACTGTACAGAGTATATGCTTTTTATATCCATCACAGAGCTTTCCTTTCTTCGTTCGGTATATACTCTGTAGTTTGAAATTCTTAATAAATATTTAATATCGAAGAAGTTAAATGATTCTGAAAGCAGAAAAAAAATACCTCTGTTATCTATTAATGTCAAAAAGTGAAAAATATTGATGAAGAATAGATAAAAATAACAAATATTTATTGTAAGTAAAAAACTTGTCGTTTTTACATACAAAATAAAAATTAATTACTGCCTTTTTCAATATACTCTTACGGACATTCGGTATTTGACATACTTTTAATGCCAGTGAAAACGTAAATATATGTATTTAATTTGTTGTTCGGCATGTGCTTTTATTCAAAACAATACATTTTATTGAAAATAGGTGCACACTTGTACAAAAATAAATTAACGCTGAAACTTGTATGTACACATAAGACCACCATATGTTAAATAGTAAAATAATTAGCAAAGAACCGAATGAAACAGAGTGTTTGTTTTCGAAGAAGAAAAAGAAAATCAGAGGCATAGACGAAGATTGTGATTGAAATAGAATCCTATCAATGAGCCTTGAATTAATCTATTTTATAGAGCAAAATCGCATGTGTGTACGGGTTCTTCTCGAGGCACTACAAATTCTTGTTTTGCAAACGTTTATATACTATACGAATTGTATAAATTTAGCAACATCAATAGTATAATGTTGATCACGTGTCGACTGCCAATAAATGTGAGGGCAACCGATCTCAGAATTAGTGCTTTAGATATGTATATGTACATATTCGATATCCCGTACGAAATATTAGCTAATGAGACGAAGGTTGTGGTTTTCAAAGAAACAATCGTCCAAGTCTGTTTGCGTTTAAAACAAAGACAACGCGTACGACGAAAAGAGAGAAGAGAGTTTACTTCGTTAATATCATAGTATGTTGTCAAGCATCAAGAAACAGTCACTTGAAAAATGTTGACAGTATATAGCAGGTCTTACGTATATACTGTGATGTACGTATCTCACGGACACACCGTTGCACTGCATGCTGTTGCACACACCGAAATGACTGCGTACGAAGGGGTGAAGAGGAAGTACCACACACGTATACCGCAAATCAAATAAATGCACACATTCGTACGCGCGCATATAGTCAAGAGACACCAAGAGAGAGATAATGTGACATCTATCCCAAAAATATCGCGTCAGTGAATATTTTACACGTTATCCCGCGGTTAAAGATTCTCGACGCATGAAAAAATTCGAGACTATTCATCCTTGAGGAACGTCACGGCCTTATCCCAGATTTTTGTCTGATAAAATACGAACGAACGGCTGCGAGTACTTGTCATGCGGAGACGCGTGAACAACAATACCTACTTAGTATCGCGGTTACGCACGGGAATGTTGAGATATTTGTTCGGTTATCGATAGATTCATTACCTCCGATATAGACCCGGTCATATTAGCTTCGCGACGCACTGACAAACAGCACTCGTAACTCCTTAGTCAGCCGGTACTCACATTTGTGTTGCAGAAAATCGCCCGACTACACCCAAATAACCACCATTTTTTTTCACTGAATAACGCGCTCTCTCGCGGTGCTATGCGCTAACATCAATGATGAAGTTAGTTACGCCGAGTGCACACTGAACATCCGATCCAAGTGAATTGAAAACTGTCTCCAAGGCTTTATTGTTTAACAATTCGTATCAATATTTCATTAATTACGATATCTAGGTGAGCAGAGAATAAATGAATGAACTTTTTGACAACCTCCGATCCATACTGAATCACAACTGCAATTACGTCTGAACACTTCCATCCAAAACAAACGTCTCGTTTCTCTTTACAAGTAATTTAAAGACAAGATCCAAGAATCAAGTACAATAAGAAATACGTCTACTTAGGCTATATAGGAAATCTTGAGTGATGCACACATGAGAGAACTGTTGTTCACCACTTTGTTGGATATTCGTAATGAATGGTTCGCAGATAAGATAATCTGAATTCAGAGCTTCTCAATTTTGAGGATCCATACATGTGGACGCTCGATGAGAAGTAATGAAAAGATTTAAGCAAGTATTGAGCACTTTTATTACATAAATCTTTTCATTATACAGTGTACATATGTACAGGCACAGTACATATATATATAACAAACGGTACGATTACTTTTTTGTTTTTCTTTTGTTTTGTTAATAAAGGTGGCGTTGTTGATGCTTCCGATGTAGAAAACGTCGCTTCTACGTACCTACATAACACGTTGTGGCAGTCGAGATTAAAGCATGTGATCCTGTCTTCATTGTAGAGGCCTATCCAAGCTTTCCAATCTACAATAATTGTAGATAACACGAAGCTGCGAAAATGGCGGACGAACAGGTGAGTTACCGATCAAAATAATGTGCAAACCTCAAAATGCGTCGGAGTTGATTTACGATGAAGTGATTACGAAAATCGTGTGGTAAGCCAGCCGGTGGTATTTCTGTTTGCGAGTTGTGTGGTATCGACGTGTGTCCAGAACATTTTTGCTGCCGGGAAACTTTAAGTATTCTTGGAAGCCTACGTTGTCTGTTGCCGGACTACAGTGATTATTTTGTCGCGCTGTCACTGCAAATGCAGTCAGAAACTGAAAGATTTTTCGGCCTCTGGCTATATTGACATCGTATTGTACAAACGAAGTCGTGTTGCTGATATGTAATACGTTACTCCTGTCCCCGTAAATAATAATTTATGTAGATAGAATTTTCAAGCCTTAGAAGATAATTAGCGGACGAGAGTATCATCCAAACTGTGAATTTTACATTCTACTTTTACTATTTTTCTATCGACCTGAACATATTTACATCGTGCTATTATTTAGTATTACTTAAAAAAATATAGCATAACCTATCTGCTTTTATTTTTCAACATAAATCAAGACCTTTTCTCTTTTGTTACCGTAGAACGCCAGACTATTGTTTATTTCTTTTTCTCGTTATCTATAATCTTTCAATCGATCTGAAAATAATATGAAAGTACTCTTAGATATAACGCGGTTTTTTCAATATTTGTTCCATTAATGTTTCTTATTTACGAAATATACATTGTATGATTTCGTGATTCCTCAAAATGAAAATCTTTCATAGGGAAAAGTAGAAGATAATATGATTGTTGTATGTACTTACATTATTGTAGATTTCGTAAACAATAGTTAGCTTAAATTACATTTGTATGTATAGTTTAATGTATAATTTTCATTTATTTTCATTTGGTATACATACATATGTGTATTTTAAGCATTAGTGGTATTTGAAAATATTGTTTAATAATAAGATTATATTATAAATAAATGTTATCATTTTAAAATAATGTTTATCTGTTATAATGTCAGTATACAACCGAAAAACTCAAGTGTAATAAATAATATGTTTATGCATCCTAAATAAATGAAATCATACTTGATCAAGTATAAAATGAACACTATCTGCAACAAATGATCAAATCTATCCAAGAATTTGAAAGTGAAGCGATGGTTTTGAACTTTAAAGACTTAAAATACCTAAATGGAAATATTGAAACCTATGAGTTGTGTCACTAAGAATGGATCAAATACAGGAAGTACGGCAGCTGGAATTGCTATGTAAGCAGTTGTATGAATCACAAGATTCCGCGCTGCGTGCAGAGGCTGAGAAAGCACTAGTTGCATTTCAAAATGCGCCAGATACACTTGCGAAATGCCAGCTCCTACTTGATCGTGGAGATTCTGCATATGCTCAACTATTGGCAGCCACCACTTTGACAAAATTGGCGTCCCGTTCAGCGGGGCTTAGTTTACAACAAAGGATCGACATACGTAAGTATAATAATTCTATGATAAACAAAGAGTAATAAACAAATATTCAAATCTTTTGTTTAGGAAATTACATTCTCAATTACTTGGCAACGCAACCAAAGTTACCGAACTTTGTGATACAAGCACTGGTGACATTATTCGCCAGGATATCAAAGTTCGGTTGGTTCGACGTTGATAAGGATGAATACGTTTTTAGAAATGTGGTCAACGATGTAACGGAGTTTCTACAGGTTGGTTGTTGAACATTTCAATTGTAAACCGTTCGTTTCGTAATCGTATATCACTTTGATGCAGGGATCAGTGGAACACTTTATGATTGGAGTTCAATTACTTTCCCAACTGACGTGCGAAATGAATCAAATATCAGATGCAGATGCAAATAGATCGATTACGAAACACAGAAAGATTGCCAGTCACTTTAGAGATACCCAGCTTTTTGAAATCTTTAGGTTATCGTGTAATTTATTAAGTACAGCGCGTGAGAATTGTAAAAATTTAAATTTCAACGACGAAGCACAGGTACGTTTAGTTTTGTACTTTAACAATCTATGCTTCTTCGTAATATCATCGTCGTGTTTCCTTTTATCTAGCATGGTTTGATCAAGCAACTTTTGAAGCTTGCACAAAATTGTTTGACATTCGACTTTATTGGAACGTCGACAGACGAGAGTTCCGATGATCTTAGTACAGTACAAATTCCGACATGCTGGAGACCCGCATTTTTGGATTTCACATCATTGAAACTTTTCTTCGATTTATACCATAGTTTGCCTAATACGCTGTCATCCTTGGCTCTCTCGTGTTTGGTACAAATGGCATCTGTCAGAAGGAGCTTATTTTCGAACCCGGAGAGGGCACAGTTTCTAACACATTTAGTTAGCGGCATAAAACACATATTACAAAACCCGCAAGGTCTGAGCGATCCAGAGAACTACCATGAATTTTGTAGACTGTTGTCACGGCTAAAAAGCAATTTCCAACTTGGGGAGCTGGTCTTGGTCAAGGATTATCCGGAAGCTATACAGTTGATCGCAAAGTTTACGATTCAGAGTTTGCAGATGTGGCAATTCGCACCAAACAGTTTGCATTATCTCTTAACTTTATGGCAGAGGATGGTGTCATCGATGCCTTATGTGAAAGCAGGAGATCCGCATTTGCTGAATACGTATACTCCTGAAATTGTGAATGCGTACATCACTTCGAGACTCGAATCGGTCGCGGTAGTAGTCAGGGAACGTTTGGAGGACCCGCTCGATGATTTAGGAATAGTTCACCAGCAGTTGGAACAGATATCTGTAATCGTAAGATGCGAGTATCAAAAGACGTGTACTCTGTTAGTACAGCTTTTTGATCAGGCTGCTAGAACGTATCAAGAATTAATGACGCAGACAGCATCACCGACACAACAAATGGATATTACTATACAAGAGGGCCAGCTAACTTGGCTTGTATATATCATAGGTAAGAGAATTCATGCGTCAGATGGTACAGGTAAAAATTGCAATAAAAATGTTTGTAATATAGGTGGTGTCATTGGTGGGAAAATAACGTTTAATAGCAATGAAGAGTACGATGCGATGGATGGTGAACTGGTTTGTAGAGTTCTCCAACTGATGAATTTAACTGATTCAAGACTTGCGCAAGGTGGCTGTGAAAAATTGGAGTTGGCTATGTTGAGCTTTTTCGAACAGTTTCGTAAGATATATGTAGGTGATCAAGTTCAAAAAAATTCTAAAGTATACAGAAGACTGTCGGACGTCTTGGGAGTTAACGACGAATCCATGGTACTTGGTATTCTTATTCGAAAGATGTAAGTAACCAGGAGATTTTACGAAGATTATTACCAGGAGAAGAACTGTTTACTAACTTATATTTTAATGTTGCATTTTCAGCATAACAAATCTAAAGTATTGGGGTCGTAGCGAACAAATTATTTCAAAGACATTACAATTATTAAATGATTTATCTGTGGGTTATAGTTGCGTTCGTAAACTTGTCAAGTTGGAAGAGGTGCAGTTTATGCTCAATAATCACACAGTATGTATCTGAAAACCATCGTATATTAAATCTTTATACACAGGTATCGGATTTAACATTTGCTTTTTAACAGAGAGAGCATTTTCCATTTTTGGGAAACAATGTTGCTGTAAGAGAAATGCGTTGTCGGTCAATGTTTTACACGTCACTGGGTAGATTACTAATGGTAGATCTAGGAGAAGACGAGGAAAGGTTTCATACTTTTATGTTACCTTTAACAAGTATGGAAATTATCTCACACCGATCATTGTGAACATACTTATTTAATATTTACGGTCACACTTTCTATTCATAGATGCATTTGAAAGTTTGGGACAGTTAATTAGTCAGAGTGATCCTTCACTTTTCGCTGCAGAGGAAGCAAAAAAAGCATTAATTGGTTTAGCAAGAGATTTAAGAGGCTTGGCTTATGCGTTCAATACGAAAACGTCATACATGATGTTATTTGACTGGATGTATCCTTTTCTTTTTTAAATTTGATAATTTGATAAATAATTATTCTGCCAATATTGACTAATAAAACGCCTTAATTTACAAACAGATATCCTAATTACACACCAATTTTATTGCATGCCGTGGAATTGTGGCATTACGAGCCACAAGTTACTACGCCCGTCCTAAAATTGTTTGCTGAATTAGTACAAAATAGGAGTCAACGATTACAGTTCGATGCATCTTCTCCGAATGGAATCCTATTATTTCGCGAAGCTAGTAAAGTAATATGTAGTTATGGTAATCGTATACTGAATGTCGAAGTTCTAAAGGATCAAATATATCCCTTAAAACTTAAAGGAATAAGCATATGCTTTAGTATGTTAAAAGCAGCTTTGTGTGGAAATTATGTAAATTTTGGCGTGTTCAGACTGTACGGTGATGAAGCATTGGATAACGCGCTTAATACATTTGTAAAATTACTTCTTAGTATACCACAGAGCGATTTATTGGTATGTATTAATTTCATTTTTATGATTCGCAGTATTCACATGTAAATGGCAAATTTTAAGGGATCAACGTTATTTTTCGTAGGACTATCCAAAATTGTCAACCACGTACTTTGTGCTACTTGAATGTCTGGCTCAAGATCACATGGTGTTCCTATCTACTTTGGAACCTAGAGTTTTCTTGTACATTTTGTCGAGCATCAGCGAGGGCCTTACGGCACTAGGTGCGCAAAAAGACTCCTATACAGGTCTGTGCGGCTGATTCTATTTTATTATCATTCTCTTATCCTCTATGCCGTGATGCGGAATCATTTAGATTTATTTTTTTTCAAGAGAAAAATGTGCTCGTTAAACGTTAGTAAGTTTAACACAACACTGTTAAAATATATAATAGACACATGTGATTTCATGGGTTTCAGTAATTTTTTTATATTACTTTTTTTAATAAGGGAGAGATATGTACTTGTATTTTTTTATGCATGTACAGATTTTTGGACAATTTTAATATCATTTCATAGTCAAGTATAGAGTACGAAAACATCTGAAAATAAATAGCTGATAAGTATATTTGATTTTGTTTCTGTTTATATTTGCTTTTTGCATCATTGCTTGGAATGTAAACCTGCATTTAAGTAAATTAGTTGTTGCTATAGTTTGAAAGACACAGGAACAGATGTATGCTGATGAATTTTTATGCATATTAAGAGAATGATTGGATCATCATGACATGGGCAATAAGAGGATTCGAGTTTGTAGAACCTAGACCCTAACTGCTACTTTTCTCTATTGCTTTTCTCAAATTTTTATTAGTACTTGCAGTACAACGCGCGTACTATTAAAACTAAATTTCGTAGCGGGTCTAGCGCACACAGTCAGCCGCACAGCTGACATGCTATTCAAATATATGTATATTACTGTTTCTATAAGTTACTAATCAACTACTTGTTGTGTGTCAACTATTAACGCTTCGTTTTTGTACAAAGTCGTCTCTGGAATTGATTTGCAATTACTCAAAGTGTGAATGATTGCAATTCTGTTCATTTGATAACTCGTTTAAATTAACATCGACTACCTGTTTTTCTATTATGTTGAACATATTTCGGGGATAGAGTCATTAACATAAAATTTTACAGAATTTAATTTCTTTACAAGATAGATTTTTATTACTATGGCCGCTGATCATCCTTATTTTCACATTGCCGTTTTATCAATTATTATTTATTTAATAGTTGCTATCACTTCGCTCTAATTGAGTATAAAACACTAAATGTGTGTGAAAATACTGAATTTATTACAGATACAATGGTCTGTACCGGCTGTTGTGCAACACTTGACTATATTGTGACTTACTTGTTCAAGCAGCTATATCAAAAAGGTATCATCTATTAATACTTACGTACCTGACATGTAATGCTTATCTTTATGTGAATACAACATGTACCCTTTCTGTTAGGGGGATATACAGGAAGGAAAAATACCGTAGTTCCAGGAGGCGGAGATTTATTCTTACAAGTTTTAAAACAACACCCCGAGATTCTTCAGCAGATGTTAAGCACGGTCTTAAATGTGATAATGTTTGAAGATTGTAGGAATCAGTGGAGTATGTCACGACCTCTTTTGGGATTAATTCTTTTAAACGAAGAAGTAAGGATACTTAATTTCTCGGAAACAAACACCATATCATTACAACTAAAATCATCTATTTATTGCAGTACTTTAATCAATTACGAGAAAACATTATTAGAAGTCAACCAGTCGAAAAACAAGCAACAATGGCACAGTGGTTTGAAAATTTGATGGAAGGGATTGAAAGGAATTTACTTACGAAAAATAGAGATAGGTAAAGTTCACTCTTCGTAATCTTACAAACGTCTGTGTTTGATTTCATGTATCGTATGATGGTTCTTTGCAGATTTACACAAAATTTATCATTGTTTAGAAGAGATATAAATGATACCTTGAAAGGACCTAATACAACTGCAAACCCTATTGGTGATATGATGACTTTAACTTTCAATTAGATTTCTCTTAGGTTCTTGCCTGCCAAATGCTTGAATGTGTGCGCGAGTGAAACTATAAATTATGGTGAATTTCAAATTATGATTTCAATTGAGTATAAAGATAATAAATTAAGTAACTGTTGGTTTACAGGAGAATTATTGTTTGGCTTCCTATTCTATTGTAACTTTAACCGTTTTTCAAACATTTCTCAAGTACAACAGTTCAAGTTAAAACAGAACTTAAATTTTCTAATATGTAGTGTACTTATGTACACACTTTATCTCGAACTCGTAGTTAGAAAAAACAAATCCTCTTTATTACTTTTATACTCCTATCTTTAATATAATCTAGAAATCTGAATATTCCTTGCACGTAAATTAAGAAACAGGGATTAGCAATAAATATGTTAATGTTCTAATTCTACAATTACTGCATACCAACATTTTTAAGACAAATTTTAAGTTCTTAGGATCTTCACTGTTAATCTTCATGTTGTAAAGATACAGCTCAGAATAGGAAGCCAATTGTGTAAACTTCAATCACACATTTTGTTCCGTGTTAATTTTACACGCAATCAGCTTCCATTTATTTAGTTGTACTCGTTACTCAATTATTTTCATTACAAAATACAACTCACAATTAAATGATGTTACTATATCGTCAAAAGGAACGTTACATTAATAATGCACAAATTCGCATTCCAAACTAAATTTCTGAGTCATTTTAAACTAATTTTTATATATGCATGATCATTTTAAATCTAAAGAGAAATTATTCCCTTCCGTTTTTCTTCAACTATAATTTTAGTCCTTACCCAAGTGTTAAAATTAAAAGTTCTATTACGTATTCGAATAAAAATAAGATGTATATCCGCGGTTCGCGTTCAAAATTCTTTTCTTACAATTATCAATATGTTTAAAACATAATTGTAGCACCGTATCGATATTGGATATGTAAATTTCTCTCCCTTTTCGTTTGTACAACAACCATTTGTATCTTTGAACTGTGAAAATCCAAATGTATGAAGAATGCGTGTAAAAAAATTCGTGTGAGATTTATGTAACATTTAGTCTGTACTCTGTACACAGTTAATAATAATTTACTAGAAGTTACATTGAATATTTGCAAAGAATTTTATTTAGATTGCATTTAATCATTTATATATTTTTTACTGTAAAATACTAGAAAAAGATTGATAAGAAACGGTTGACATATTTCTTTTCTTTTTATAACAAATCTTTAAATACTTTACGTTTAATAAATACAACTTGTAAAAATGTTAGAGAATGTTACTTTTATTGACCGACTATCATAACTGAATCTGCTGTAAACACTGTATTGTATATACTTTTGGCATAGTAAAAAA